AAAAACTGAAAAATTGTTACTTCTGATACTGACTTATGTACATTCCGATACTAGCTTATGTACATACTCAAAATAAGTCCACCTCTAGAGTCTTAAAAACTTAATCTGATGGCTTAACTTTAGAATGTTCAAATAACTTTCTTGATCTAGTGAACTTTCAAGATTATAGTCGCGATACTGGGCAACTATAGCTGAATGAATATCTCCTGTGAAACTTTACGGCGTTCCATCCGTATACTTGATCTGAACAGGAGTTAAACTTAGAATTACTGAAAAATAAATATTGTATTCTTGAAAAGGCACAATCTCTTGACAAGTTACCAACTCGATAAGCTAAAGTTCAACTAGAATTCTGAATATAGTTCTGATTTCGGATATGAGGACATATCTGATACTACTATGAGTCTTTGATACTGATCTGAGCATTTATTCGGATTTCTAAGGTTCGGATATCTGAATCCTATTGAGCATAGACTTAGTAATTTGCATATATTTTAAAAAAACTTTTGTAAAAACTTTTAACAGCACTTACCTGGTAGTCGGTTAGCCGTGAGTGTGGTGTGGTCGGTTTTCCTTAAACTTCCCTTTTGAAAACTTAAAATTTTAGTATACAGAGCACTTGAACTTTGGCTCTGATAGCAACTGTACCACCCCGCTTATCAGAGTAAATTTTTCGCAATTTATTTCGAAAATGCTCATAAATTTTTCGAAATCTTTTTAGCTTTACTCAGGATGCTACTAAAACTTATTTGCTTTAGAAAATCTGTTTCCTTAAAAACTTGGTCTAGCAACTGGGTTAGACATAAATAAAACAGATTGTAAATATCAAACAAGTATGTAAATTGGACATCTTCATACTGGCAAACATATAAATTATTTAAGTTTGAAAATACTGTCACACATGTTCGAATCTGAAAACGTAGCGGAAATCTTGCAAGCGTGGCATAATAACTATACAAACTGAAACCTTATTAAAAGTCCATAATAGAAATTGAACCAAATTCACGACCAACACCACCACAGCTGATCTCACACCTCCGCACCGACCCTGTTACGTGAAAATGATAATAGTGGGGAGTGAATACTAATCCACTGTACTCCGTGAAAACTCATACTAAAGTAAACATTAATAATAATATCAATATCATGATCGCAGGTATATATAAGTAAACTGTAATCTCCCGACACTAGGTCGTTAACTTAACTGAATCTGTCGGACACTATGACCGTAACCGTGTGCACACTCTAATGCCATATTAAGGCTACTGTGCCTCCACCAGAACTCGGGATGGCATATTAAGGCAACTAGCCTCCACCCAAAGCGGATAACCCATATATATACCTTTGACATGATAATAGATATTATACTCAATGTAATACCCAGGCTGGGTCCCCACCTTTCTTCTTCGAAAATGTTTGAAAATCGTAAGTGTTGCTCTTGGGTAGCTAACTCCTCAAGCTACATAAAAATATACACAAATATACTAAGTACTATGCTCATATACTCAATAAGATGTTTTAACCTCAACTAATAACTTATCGGAATTTTAAAAAAATTCCGACTAAAGCTCAAATAAATACTAATTCATTGAACAACTTAACTTGAACTTTTACTTAATGCCAAACTTAAACCATATAAATCATGATTTCTGAATCTTAGATATTGACTTATACTCTCGTGTAAATTAAAATGACTAGGAAGTGAAAATAAGCTAAATTTCACATAATAGATGACCAAGTACATGAACTCAAAACATGCTCAACTTTTACCAACATCATATACATAATTTATAAGGATTTATAGCTATCAAACTCGACTTAAACATGCTTGGTACTAAAAACTCAAATTTAAAGCACATTTAACTTAAGTGCTAATCATAACATGAAAATATGCTATTTACATGTGAAACTTCAACAATTTTATAAAATCGTATAATCAACATATTAATCTAAAACTTTGTTAAATTGTTAATCCCTCATATGAGAATTTTACATAAAAGATTCATGTTAAAAACTCGAACTTGGACTGAGTACTCTTGCATATAAAATCATCTTGACATGCATGGGGTATAAACATTTTAACTCATTTATTTATTAACTTAAAATCATGAAATTTGGCAAGAATGATCTCCACACATATGTTGACATGTCATAAAAATTTCATAATTTTATCATGCATATATCTCAACTTATTCCTGTTCAAAGACACTGCTGGAAACATGCACATAAAATTCAGCTTGCATGATAAACTTTAAAAATCCATAACTCGAGCTATACTTAACCAAAAGACATGATTCTTGCTCCTATGTACTCATCATTTACACAAGAAATATACATAATAAGCTTAACATACCATGTTATACATAGAAACTTAATGTAACGCCCCGTTCGTTCGTGAATAAATGGATATTATTATCATTTTTATTATTACTATAATTATTATTATTACTATTATTATTAATATTAATATTGTGTGTATAATAAATATATATAAATGCAGTTTTATTTATTTATTTCGGGCTATATTCTATTAATGTTTAATGTTTAGTTGGTATGACCAATGTATGAATGTGAACCATGTGGCCTACCGATGTGAGCTGTTACGGCCGTCGGTATGGTTGTCCCCGTTCGTTCATGAATAAATGGATATTATTATCATTTTTATTATTATTATAATTATAATTATTACTATTAATATTATTATTATTATTATTATTATTATTATTATTATTATTATTATTATTATTATTATTATTATTATTATTATTATTATTATTAATATTGTGTGTATAATAAATATATATAAATCCGGTTTTATTTATTTATTTCGGGCCATATTCTATTAAACCGAATCGAGCTAAAATTTTTATTATCGCATTGTATCCCTTCAAGCCCAATTAAATTGGTCTCGGCCTAATTTGAGTTATATTTCTTGGCCCTTTTTGCCATTGTTTTTCCAATCCAAATTCCTTAATTAATAGTTAGGCCCAATCAATGTATTTTATTCTTGGCCCGTTAAAGCTAAATTTGCAAGCGTTATTAATGTGATCAGATATTTTGTACTCCCTGTGAGACCGAGTCTATCGTCATCTTCAACGGATCAGAAATTATGTGCGATTCCCTCTCGCACGTTCGCCCCGTTCGTTCATGAATAAATGGATATTATTATCATTTTTATTATTATTATAATTATTATTATTATTATTATTATTATTATTATTATTATTATTATTATTATTAATATTGTGTGTATAATAAATATATATAAATCCGGTTTTATTTATTTATTTCGGGCCATATTCTATTAAATCGAATCGAGCTAAAAATTTTATTATCGCGTTGTATCCCTTCAAGCCCAATTAAATTGGTGGGTAGACTGTAACGCCCCGTTCGTAGACTGTAACGCCCATTTTTTATTATCGA